CACGAAACCGAATCAAATTAAAAGTTTCTCGAGTTGAGCCGAATAGAATCGAATGAAACTTTCGAAAAAGTGGGTTGGATCGGATCAAGTCGAAGTGTTTGAAGGTTTGCAGAAGATAGTCCGGTTCGAATCGAATGAAAAATTTCTTCAGTCGAGTCGAATTGAATATGGTTGATACGCCTCATTGAGCTTTTTTTTGCGTTCGATCGTGTGATAATCTTACACGTTAGTGATGATTGGTTTACATGAACAACACATACAAGAGAACACAACACCAATTTAGAAATTGTAATTAACTTTCTTTAATTTTTGTAAACGCATTTGTTAACTATGAACATGTAAGCAAACAACGAATATGTATGATACAATCTAATGGTTCGTCGATAAGTGAAACACTTTCTTGATCCATATTTATTGACAACTATACAAAGAGTCTTCTGTCTTGATAAATTTCATAAAAGAAATAATATATTCATTCTTAACGATAGATATGTACAGGTAAAGCGACATGTTTATCTGTTCATATGGATACTGTTTAATTATCTACTCATTTATTCTTTTTCAAATGTTTTTGTTATCGCTTTTGAATGAAGGACTATAAAGAAAACGGTTTTCTATGATTTTATTGTAAAGTATTTTGGTTAATTTTCGTAGCAGTTGGTTCTTGCTGATCTAATTTTGCGATATGCACTCATGTTGTGAAATTTCGACTGTTCAAGAATTAAGTACAGTCTTATTTTTAGGAACCATCGGCGTAGAAGTTTTAAGAGCAATTTTATTCTGTAAAATCTGTTTTCTTACATACGGATGATATTACAGAACTAAATGATCATAAAAAATGTATGAAAATACCAAGTATATAAAAGTTGAGAAAAACAGTAGAATAAATGTCTAAGGAAAACAGCAGAACAAGTATATCAAATAAGATGTTTCGAGAAGAGTAGCATTATTTCTACTCGTGATGAAAGTGCAGCCGAATTGAAAATCAAGTGCGGTCGAATCGATTGAATAATTTCTCTTTCGATTCTCACTCTGGTCTTGAATAACTTAAACTGTCGATATTTATTAGTCTTTACTTACTAATCAAATAAAATAAAGACTAATGAACATCGACAGTTTCAGTTATTCAAGAATGCTCCGAAAAAAAATGATACAATTGCATTTTTAAGGAGAAAATTTTTCTTATGAACATCCAAATAGCTTCACACTGGAATTTATCTATGCATAATAAACATTTCTGATTTCGATATGCAATCGATAGCTTGATGAGTGAATAATACTTTCAAAGAGTGATTAATAATCTTTGAAGATATAAAATAAAAGAAAAAATTCACTTTTGAACGAGAAGGCGGCACATAATCAAATGTTTTGCAATAAGGATGTAGAGAAAAGAATGAATAACAGAATAGATAACTGAAGGAATCGAGGAATATGGAATAACGGAATAACGGAATAGAGGAATAAGGAATGACGGAATAGAGGAATAAGGAATGACGGAATAGAGGAATAAGGAATGACGGAATAGAGGAATAAGGAATGACGGAATAGAGGAATAGTGGAGGAATATAGAAATAGTCGAATAGCGGAACGGTGGAATAAAAGAATGAAGGAATAACGACCGACCGACCGGAATATATTTTGAAGCGCTCCCTTATGTTAGCATTCATTTTGCTTTTTTCTCTATTTTTTCTGCCCTTTTACATTGTATAGAGACACGCTTGCATTCTTTTTTTCTTATCTTTTCTTCATCATTGACTTTCCTCTCAATGCTCTCGTCTTCACATATAGTTCAGGCATTTCTCTTGTTCATTTTTTTTCTCCTGTCGACAACTGCTTTTTTTCCCACAAGTATGATATAGTGGTAGTCGCTTAGAAATAAAATTAGAACTTTTTTATCAAGAAGTTAGATCGACCATCGCATGAAAAATATTTGTCTCGCACAACAAATTTCACTTTTAGAAGACCAAAGTTGATGTGTCGAATAATGTCTAGGCGTAGTTAAAATGAGATGTATAGTTTCTAAGACTTCTTCCATATATGAAATATATTTAGGAGATTCAGATGTATGTATTCGTTTTCAGATCAAATAGATGTCTGAAGAATCTTATTCCAGTTCCGAAGCTAACAATATATCAGAAATAGGATTATCCAATACCGTCCATTCCATTCAACAAAATGAAAAGAATATAACTCTCATTTGGTTCGACCCTCTTATGAACACAACTGATGCCGAGAAAATGAAGGAAGAAGTTTTGGGACTCAATGATGTTCTTTGTCTTGTTGATATTGAATTATGCATCACGAATATCGAATCAAGAAAAACGGAGCAGATTTTTCTTATAATACCAAGCAACATTGCATTTAAGCTGCTTCCAACAATTATCAAACTTTCTCAGTTGGATTCAATATTTATCTTCCGAGATAATCGTGAGGAATGTAATCGTTTATGTACTGACTATCCCAAAATTGTGGATATTTTTGATAATTTCAATGAACTCATGAAATCTGTAAAACAAACTATCAAGGAGATTCAGAGACAAATGGAAGTAATTTCTTTCTATGATCAGCATCAAAATGGGGCTCGTGATTTATCAGAACAATCAGCTGAATTTCTCTGGTGATATTGATTGAGTTAATTTTTTGTTTTATAATTTATCTTCTTTACAGGTTTCAATTGTTCATTAATGTAATTCAGCTTTCGCCTCACGATGAAAAAGCAAAAGAAGAAATGTTAACTCTTTGTCGAGAGTATTATCGAAACAAACAACGATTACTGAAAGATATTAATGATTTTGACCAAAATTATGATGCCAATGAATGTATTCGTTGGTATACAAAAGATACATTTGTGTTCGAACTGATTAATAAGGCCTTGCGGAGAGAAGATATCGAACAACTTTATATATTCCGCTATTATATTGCGGATTTGTCGAATCAACTTCGTCAAGAATGCCAAAAGCTCAAAACAGAAGGAGAAAAAACAATTAGATTATATCGTGGTACGACAATTAATAGAAAAGAAGTCGAAAAATACAAAGCAAATGTGGGCAAATCTTTTGCAATCAATGGTTATTGGTCTACTAGTCTTAAACTTTCATGTGCACATGGATTTGCCAATAAAGGAAGGTTTCGTCCCGATACTATACCAGTAGTATTTGACATTGAGTGTCAGCTAAAAAATCAGAATGATTCGATCATTGTTGCTGATATATCTAAGTTAAGTGAATTTCCGATAGAAGAGGAATTCTTATTCAATGCAGGGTCAGTTTTTTGTATAGAGAATGTTAGAGAAGAAAAGAAAGATGATACGGAATCGATTGTAGTTGAAATGAGAACAAGTGAGGAAGGACAAGAAATTGCGAAAAACTATATCGAAGAGTTGCGACGAGAGATGGACTATGAAAGTCCGAGAATAATGCTGGGTATCTTACTTAGAAGAATAGGAAAATTTGACAAATCATTACAATATTTTGAGGATCTTTTAAAAAATCCTGGTGAGGAAAATGTATCTCACATATATACTCGAATAGGGATTGCTTTGAGAAATAAAAGTGAATATGATTCTGCTTTATTACATTTCAATAAAGCATTGGACCTAATATATGAGCCTAATTCGCAAGAGAGAGTATACCGAGCCTTGATACTTCATAATAAAGGTCAAGTTTTTTATAAAAAAAGGAAGTTTCTCCAGGCTTTAAATCTTTATCAACAGGCTGTAGACATTTTAGAGAGAGAGATAGGCACACCGAATCGTTATATTGCAGAAGTTTACAGAAACATTGGACGAGTATATTTGTATAAAAAGGAACTCGACAAAGCTCTTCATTGGCAACAGAAAGCGTTAGAAGTAAGAAACAATTGTTTATCACCAGATGATGTTGTTTTTGCCTTCAGTTATGAAGAGATAGCTAATATTTATTCGCGTAAAGAACAAAATGAAGAAGCTCTTCAGTATTATCTTCAAGCGTTAGAATTGAGAGAAAAATCTTTACCACCTATTCATCATAATACAGCCTGGAGTATCTATCAAGTTGGTAAAATGTATTACAAGATGAGCAATCCAAAAGAAGCTCTTCATTATTATGAAAAATCACTTGAAATGACCAAAAAATGCTTTCCTGCTTCTCAACTTCACACTGCGCCTGCTATTCTCGAAGATATTGCATTGATTCACGGCTACAACTCGGAAGAAGCATTGCAACGTCGAATAGAAGCACTAGAAATTCAGAAGCAATTGAAACCCATTAATTATTCATATCTGATTCGTATCCTCGACAACATTACCTTTACCTACAAGTCACAAGGTCATATAGAAAATTCACTCAACTTTTACAAAGAAGCTATACAAATTCAAAAAGAAAAACAACTTGATGGTGAATTATCTTTGGCTAAAAAATTTAACAAATTAGCTCGTGAATATGAGGCAATTGGCAATATGACATGCGCACTTCACTGTTACCAAGAAGTAATTAGCATTAATCAACGTTATTATCCTCCTTCCCATTATCTTTGCAAAAAGACCACAAGCAATATTAAACGAATTAAACAAAGGCTTCAATGAAATAAACATTCTAATATTTTTTAAGCTATTGAAAATACATAATATTTATTAATCTTCTACCATTAAAACCTAACCCTTTCAGTACAAATAGGCATAACTTTATATAAAAAACGAATTTGAGAAGACAAAACTTACAGATATTTTCCTTTTTATTAAAAGTCTATCTTTTCGGCGAACAATCACAAGTGTTTACACACATTAGACAAAAAATTAAGGGTGTGGGTGCGACACTTCATCTTTTTTTTTAAACCAACACCCACACCCACAATTACTTACAATAAGTAAACAATAACTTAAAGATGCTGCTTATGCTAAAAAACAACTTTATTCGTCATAAATTTTTTTGTCATCTATCTAATCATTAGATAGTAGGGTGTGGGTGTGGGTGTGGATGTGGGGGTGGGGGTGGATGTGGTGGTGGGGGTGGGTGTGTGGGTGGGTGTGGGTGTGAGGTGTGGGTGTAGGTGTGAGTGTGGGTAGGGTGTGGGTGTGGGTGGGTGTGGGTGTGGGCATGGGTGAGTGTAGAGTGTGGGTGTGGATGTGGGGGTGTGTGTGTGGGCGGGTGTGAGGTGTGGGTGTGAGTGTGGGTATGGAGTGTGGGTGTGGGTGTGGGTGAGTGTAGGGTGTGGGTGTGGGGTGGGTGTGGGTGGGTGGGTGTGGGTGTGAGTGTGGGTATGGAGGGTGGGTGTGGGTGAATGT